CCCATACATCGACACACAGAATATGACCATTCTACAGCCAGATCTGTTATCACGGCTAATTACAACTCCCACCTCACATATACAGGGCTGTAATTAGCCTCTTAAAACATGATTAACATGTCTCAATTAAGCCAGTCAACATTTGCATAATATATTAGCTGTCCTAATTGCAAGTGAGTTTATATCAGAGGACAGGAAACAGCAAAAATACTTGCTGTTGCCCCTGAAGTGAATATGTAGTGAGCATAAATATGAATATAGAGGAAATGCCGGTGAATAAAAGGGAGTCCGGTCTATTTACGCATGTCATAACTCACTTCAAGAGCAAAGATAAACTGACAGTCAGCACATCCCCTCTCCGACTATACTTATAAAAATATACTACATGTTTATTATTATTCACTTAGACGAACATTTCTGGTAAGTAGAGGAAGAGTTTTCCGATAAATGCATAAATCAAAGCCAGGCAATATTTTTCTCGGGAAAACTTCGCACACATTTTGAAGTTATTTATTTGAAGTTATTTATGAGAGAACAGGCAGAGTCCTGTTCAGCCTTATTTCCGTGGAAACTAAAACATAGGGGGATAAACTGCTGCTTCGGCACTTCCAAGCCGGGGACAGATATACAGTCTCCCAGCTAGCGCGGGGAAACCAAGGACATAGCCATTAGTTTCAGGACAGCGCCACATTGGAGACTAATGCCTCCATCTGTCACTGGAGATGAGAGGAGGGTAACAAAGAGAGGCAACACTAACCCCTGAACTCATCATGGACAGCCATGTCAATTAAATACTGAAAAACTGCAGGACTGGGAGCCATAGTGACCAGTTTATCCACGGCTGAATTGAGCCCAACCAGTACCTCTCCAAGTGTTTAACGCTAATGTTACAGAAAACGGTAATTTGACATTATCGCCGTGCACCTTTGGGCTTATTTCAGTCAAGCAAAGCAGATCTGACACCACTTATTTGATTAGTAATTAGTGAACAGTCAAAGTCAGGATCCATGATGCTCAATACTGCTATTTACTGCTATACTGATGTTACTGAATATGATCACTTATTCGTTTCACTCATTTATTTAAGCAAAATGCCAACTCTTGTTGGCTTCACCTACTGCATTAAGAAGCTTTGCTGTTTTTCATGGTAAATAATACATATTTTCAACAGCTGATCAAACAAAACAAAACATCTGGATATGCTGCTTTATCCCATCTGGATTTTGCAGTGATGGCATTGGACAAATATGTCATCTATTGGGGACTGACTAAGTTTACTGCTCAGTGTTACACGTTTTTTTTTTCAGTGCTCTGCTTCCTTAATTAAAAGCTTGGTAAACACAAGTTGGTGCGTTTTCCTGCACAGAGATGCTGATGGAGATTCTCATTGGTATGATTACCAAGCTAATGCTAAGTATGCTATCAGTTGCTACTCATCTCACCTGGTCATTTACAGGCTGCAGTGTGTCCTCGTTTTGCTGTTTTGTTTCAATCCATTAGACTGTTTTTTAAGGTTAAAACAAAAACAATCCCATATAATCTGAATTACACATTGGCAGCCACCAGTTGTTGGGTTGTTAGAGACCAGTTGGTCCAGCCGGTATTATTGGTTAAACTATCATATAGTTTCTAAGAACTCTAACTGACAACATATAGAACCAAAAATCAGCTTTTCTACAATGTAAAACGTTATTTTCATAATAAAATTAGTAAACTTTAAAGTTTACCTCAAACTGCAGTAAGTTACAGATTTTCTCTTGCTTAATAAACTACTCTGAAAACAAAGTGTTATGCTACCAAAATGAGGTACAAATAATAACCCGACAGTAAGTCGCTGTGCACCCACCTTTACCTGACATATTTTACAAAAGCAGGTGCAACACATTTATATCGCAAGACAAAAATCAAGTCCTTACATCATTTTGTAAAAAGTTTATAAATTCACCAGATAACAGGACTTGAACCCTTTTTTATTTATTACTCATCCCCAAAGTAACTATCCTTTGCTCATACTGAGGCTCATTAGCTTTAACCACTTTACCTTTGTTAGCTTCTTTAAAATAACCATGTTCAGGGGGGATTTAAGTGTCTGATTTAAGTTTGTTCTCACTAAAGTTTTTCTGATTGTCCCTCCAAAGTGCACACACCACTTTTTGCCTGTGCCACTGTGCCCAAGTTTTACATGCAACGAATCAGGTCTGGACTGAGAACACTGAAAATCTGTGCCTGGCTGCTTGATCTGTGCATCTCTACTATCAAAGAGTACTCTTGAGCCATCAAAACAAAAGCCGCCTTCTTGACACTGAAAGAACAACATTTGCCCAAGAGTTCATGACACCTCCAAAGTGACCAGATCAACACCACTGTGAATATCTAAATTGTGTGTACACGTCCAATTAGCGGCGCATGCATGGGGAGGAGGGGGGGTTGAGAGCAGAGGGTGGCACTTAGCGGGATGGACTGATTCAGCAGGTCTCCAGCTTTGATAAGTTCAAGCGGTGTAATGCATTATCCGTCTGATCACATTAGTCATGCAGGAGCTCGCCATCTGACCCGAGCCTGCATGGGAGTAATGTGAGGCTGCTGACAAGAGTGGCCTGACGAAACGGTCGCAGGCCCACAGATAGACAGAGAGTGAGAGAGGGAGAGCGTAGGCCTGAAATCTGACACCCAGAAACACTGACTTGGTGGCTGGCTTCTCTTACTTAGTCAACCTGTACGTGCCAGCTTGTCTCGCCGTAATGGTTCCACACATACAAAGACGCTCTCCGGTTCTCTTCACAGGATGTGAAGCAAGCACAGGAAAACAAATTCTAAGTGCTCTCAGGAACTGCAGAAACAATGATGAAAGTTTAAAAAAAGAAAAAAGTCGAGAGGGGCCAGAAGACGGGCCAAACAACCCCGGCGTCGAAAGGTACGACTGTAAGTCGTAACACAAATCTCTGTCACTGCTTTTCCATCGGCCAGCGTGTGAACCTGAGCTTATTTAAGCTTGCTAAATACTCTAAATCTGTGACACAGGAATGACCCCTGCGCAAATAAACAGGGTGTGGGGGTGTGTGAGGTCATCAGTTAAGGCCTGCTATTGGCATGTGCTCCCGCCTTGTTTGTCAGCTGCTTGCCAATGGACACCTCACTGCTCTAATGTCCCATATTGCTGCTGTCAACACTCGCACCACAAAGAAGAGGCGCGTACAAGACACACACACACACACAGACACGTGAACATGCAGCACCTATAGATGACGTAAAGAAGAAGGAAAAAAAACACTTCCTCTCTTCAGTTAAAGGTCGAGGAGAAAGCGTTGCTTCAAATCTGCCCTGCTGTACTCATCGCCCCCTGCTCGCTCTTCTTCTCGCAGACACTCTCACTGCAACAGTGTAAAAAGCAGGGAGAAGCTGACTCTTTATAAAGAATATAAAAAAGGCTGACAAATTACAGGCTGTACTGCGCTCGCATACACTGCACTCAGCACATTTGGCTGTAAATGCCATGGTGAAGGTTTGAGTCATTTTCTCTGTCACTGCAGTGAAAGGATTTTCAGTTTCGTCTGCACAAACCTCCTATGGGCGAAGATGAGCCGCGGCTCAGCTCTTCAAACGCAGACAGGGAGGACACAGAGAGGCAGCCATTCACTCTTGATTCCCTCACAAATTGCTTGGGTTATTCTTAACTTTTTATACGTCGTTCTGTCGCCATCAAAACAATGTAGCTATTTAGAGCTCGCTGATTTGTGGTTTGGGAGAAATGTTCCCCAGCCACATTTTAAGTAAAAATAACTGATCCGATGCATTAAAAAAAAGAGAGCGAGAGAGAGAAAATGTAATCCACATTGAATTGAATTATGTTCCTTTTCCAAACTTGGTGCTAAGCGGAGGGGAGGGCAATTTGCAGTCTGGGGGGAGCCTCTCTCGTCAGAAGCCCTGTGAAATCCTGGTTGCCAAGAACGGTGGGAAGAGAGGAGAGGCAGGGGGGAAAAGCCAGGAAAAGGTCCAAGTCACTTTGTTCTTCTTTTTGGAAACGAACTCTGGTTGAACCCGGGGAGACGCCAGACAGTTTACAAAGAGCCAAGCATTACTCTCTCACTTTTCCAAGCCTTGCAATTTAGAAGCAGGGCCCCAGCCTGCTATAGCTTCTTCCTCATGGGCTTCACGTTTTAAATGTGACGAAAATCAAGTGTCTACACGTTCTCTCTTCATTTTCTTTTTTTTTTTTTTTTTTGGAGGGGGGGGGGCTGTGCCAAACTCTGACTCATAAGAGTGAAGCTTCAGTGAACAACAGTTCATGTTAAATTAATGAAAACGGCATTGCCTCCATACAGCACAAGCCCCGTGTTTATTCTCAGCTGTCTGCATGGCTGCGACGCGACAACCGAGCAGCCAAAGTGACAAGGCTCTCTCAATAATCTCAGACAGCTTCAAAGTTGTGTTCACAGATAAGGTTATATTGGATCTTTTGTTTTATTTCCTCCCCTTCAAAAGCAGCGCTCTGCCACATCCCTCAGAGAATAGTCACAGGCTTTCATCATGTGAGGAGCTCTCCTTTTAATCTGCTGTTAAGAGAGTAATAATTCACACATTCTTTTTCATGACTTTGACCCAGGCTGCGAACATAAACAGAAAATCCCCCTGACCTGTCTCTGCATGCAAAACAGCTCACTTCAGCAAACACCATCAAACTCGGCCAAGGAAAACAGAGAAGAGAGGAGCGAGAAAGAAAGAAAGAAAGAAAGAAAGAAAGAAAGAAAGAAAGAAAGAAAGACGGTCCCAAAGAGGCCCAAATGTCCAATGACAGCGAGCTATCCAGTGTCAGTGAGGTTTGTGAAAGGAAACATGATGTAAATACATATTTACTGGTTTGGGAGAGTCAAGTCTAGATAACCGTGACCTCTGCTTTTCTTTAAAAATGCTTCAACGATCAAAAGAAGACACCAAAAAAAGAGAGAAAAGAAAACAAGTGATGCTGACACACAAGGAACTGGCCATAAAAGTGACCTTACCTGTTTTCTCCTTTATTTCACATAAGACGTTGAAGAGAGCCGGTTTCATTCTGTGGCAGTTGAGTGCATGTTTTCTAAAAAAAAAACAAAAAAACAACAAAACAAAGGAGGGATGGGGGGACAGGACACCACTTTCCAAATCAGTATTCAAACAAGTGGCAACACAACTGAACTTGCTGAAATCCCCGAAAGGTTACATTTTCCCAACATATCTCAGCTGATTGTACTTCAAAGCATGCAAATATATAAAACTTACAGGAGCCAAAGCATGGGAAAAATATATTTGTTAAAAAAAATCAATCCATACTTTGTGGGTATAATTCTTTTGAAAATAATTTAAATGCACAATGCATGACTTCAAATCTTTGGAAAACACAGATTTATCCTATGCAGCATCCAATAAAATTCACTCAGGTACTACAACTTGCCTCAAATGTTTGCTATATGTATATTTTATTGCTAGTGCAGGCTATAGAAAGGGATCTGCAACATGTTATTACAGCATAGGATTACAATGTAAGCTCCTTTGTAACAAGGCAGAAGACTCTCACTTTGACTGAGGTGCCTCAGTGCTCCACAGCTAAAACACACCCCTGTGTCAATCTCATATAGCCACGCAATCATTTATAGTTTCGATATATTACCTTAAAAAAATGACAGAAAAGTTTTTGCAAAGAATTTACCACGAATCGTGACAAGTTTTTAGGGTCTTTCTTTCGCTTTCGCGCAGTCACGGCACTTCGGTGGGCGTAATTGCTTTCATTTAGAGGCAGTCTTGATCCGAACCACAATGTTATGATCCCCCCCCCACCCCCTCTCCATCCCAAATATTTCCATTTTCACGTGAATAAATAAAGTGTTTTGTGAAGCCTCACCTCGCCTGTGCTTCGTCTAAGCTTTGGTCTGTGATGGTCATTATTTGCTGTAATATGTCTCCGATGTCCTGCTTTCTTCCCTCTCCGTCCGTCCCTGCCGTGCCATCCTGCATATGCTGCGCCAGGCCGGGGTGTCCGGCCATGCCTACCCCGTGGGAGTGCATCAGCCGAGGCTGCTCATCCATCCTTGACCACGGTCCCTGCTGCCTCCACTCCAACTTTTAAAATTTTAATATCAAAGAGGGGAAGAGAGGAAAAAAGAAAGAAGAGAAAATATCCTCAGAAATTCCTCTGGATTCCTCGGTGTCTCTCTCCCAGCCCACTCCTCCTTTTTCCTTGGTAAGCTTTTCTGGATTTGGGAGGAGGGAGACTGACAAACCCTCTCTCTCGCTTTCTCTCGGTCTCTCTCCCAGCTGGTTTAGGTGAAATCTGATCTGAATCGCTGCTTTAGGCTTTGGCCACTCCTGCACCGCTACTGTAGGGAAGGAAAAAAAACAGGATTGAACATTAAAGGCTCCTAATGTGATTAAAAGTGGAGAGCGTTGTGCTCCTCTTATGAAACCTCCGATATACTCAAGAGCTTGATGCGCCAAAACGCGCTAAAGACTCAACTTGCCTTTGAAGGTTTTGGATACAAAGTACCACCAACTGTTATTGTTTCGCTTATGTCTGGTAACTGACTCATAATCAGAGTGTGGATGAAAAGCCTCCGCCCCTCGAGCCACGATTGGAGAAGAAGAAGCGCGCAAGTCCCACCTCGGTCCTCTCCGAAAACGTCAATCATCTTCCTCGGGAAGGTGGGACACTGTAATAAACATAAAGAGATGTGACCGGACCGGGTGGCAATACAGTGATGGATCGAGGGTGCATATGTAGCCTAATAAATAATTGTGAGTGGCAGTGGAGCTCTGACCCAACAGGACAGCATGGTGGTGCTCGGAAAAGACACTCTGTCATCCGGACTATATATTTTCCTGCTGAATATTTACACCCGTGTAATCAGTCAAAGGAACAATAAATCAAGATGAATTTATTAGAGAATAGAGCAGTTTGTGGAAAGCGTTTTACAAGTCTTGAGTTGGAATATTGGACCACAAGAGTCGTAACAGAAAGCGGTCTAACTAGCAGCCTTCCTCCTTTGGAATCCAACACAACAGCCTACTTGTGAGAGCAATAAGAGCTAATGCTATTTAATAATATAATATATAATAAAGATTACTCCAACCATCAGTTACCCAGTAACAGAAAATAAATCTCATAAAATATCTGGATAATTGATTAAAAAGAAATGTGATCATTTTTCCTATCAGTTTACAGCTGTTGGGGAGTAATACTGCTGGCCAAAATAATTATTTTTATAATCTAAAACCGCCTCAGTTTATTGAGATGGACTTTTAGGCTTTTGCTATGTAGGCAGTTCAGTATTTCTCACCCTTTCCTGTGTTGGTCAGTGGTATCCTTCATTCCTACTGGTAGCTGCTTCACCCACCTGCTGTTATGACTAGTTTAACTTGGTACCTGCGCACTTCATATTGCTAAAGGTTATTTTGTTAGTCCAGAACGTAGGCTGCTACCAAATGAACTAGCCCAGCTTTCTGTCATTGGATTTCCATTTTAAATCCAATTAAAAATTGCATTAATTAAAAATAAAGCCCTGCATGGGGAGCTCCCTGCTGGGTCGTTATTCCAGCAGTTGAAGTCTCTTATCATCTGATCAGGGTCCATCTGTGTTGCACACACAGTCCAGAGGATGTAGCATCCAAACAGCCCGTCAGGACACTGAATCTGTAGTTTGTTTTAAACAGCTGCCAAAAACTCAGTTTAATACCTTAGCTTTCTCAAAACCTCAAAAGTTCACACAAAATGTGTGCATGTCGGTCGTGTATCAACAAATGCCCTTATGTCTGACCGTGTTTGTAGGTTGGGTGTTTGGATGTGTCTTCATCCAAACACCTTGTGTTTTGAAAAATGCGAGGGCTTGTTGAATAAAATGTCAAAATTGTGGAATAAAATGTTTTACACATGGGAAAAAATACAAATATGTAGACTAATACTTACACAAATACACTGAGAGCTGAAAACCTATAATTTTACTCCTATTTATTTATTTACTGTTTACAACCACAACTCAGCCACTCAAACGTGCCCCCTCAAGTCACAAATTCACAAATTTGCACACTTTGACTTTTGCAGCACTTCTTGTGGTAAATGTGTTGCAAAACTATTACTATTATTTTGCCTGTCATCTTTATGAGTTACTAAACTTAACTAACATTCCTGGTCTCAGGTGGAAAATTACTGATAGTTTGTTATTTATTTATTTATTTTATTTAGCAATTAAAGAAGAGGGCTTAAAAAATCACTATGAAGTTGACACAGCAAATGAAACTATCAATAAAATTTTTTTGTACCTTTCTTTAAATGTGTTTATTTTTCTTCCAGCTCAACTTTGCCATTTGAAGCCTGTGTGGATAGATTCACCTTTGAAGTGAGCCTCAAGTGGTCATTTGGTGAACTGCACTTTTTTTGGCACCAACGCATTGGCTTCATTTTGTTTTTAGCGGCATCACACACGAAACCTCGCAAACTTTAAGACGAATACCTGCTGCTGAGAGAACTTTGGCTCTTTGCAAGGCTACTGCATAGATAGCATGCTAACACTAAAGTAGTCAAGAACCGAGAGGGATTTTAAAGCTGAGTGTATGCCGACCCCAGCCCTGCAGCCAGAGCCTGAACTTCGACAGGTAACAAAAGCAGTCATGTTTGTAGCCTCCATTTCTATCCGAGCATGCTTCTAAAGTAGAATCAACTTGGCTTTTTCATCTTTGTCTTGTGTTGTCAGCTTTGTGTTCATACCTAAATGAGACATTATTTCAGGTCATTTTACGGAGTGACGAGAAAGTAATGCAATGAGTAGTGTAACAAATTACTCTGGTGAGTAATCTAATGTGTAATACATACTTTTCTTGAGTAACAAGCTCAACATTGGGAGCCGGTACAGTAGGAATGAAGACGAGCAGATGCAATTAAAAAAGGGCACTGTATCTACTTTGTCGTATTTACTTTTTGACTGTGACAGCTATTTTCTGACATGTCATAGACCAAATGATTCATCAAGAAATGAATCAGATGATTAATACATCATTAAAATAATTTAGTTGCTGCCTTGCAATAGTATTTCTCCCATTAACGCCTGAAAAATCGAAATTGTAACGTGGATAAACTGCAGTTCTGTGCCTCGGAGTGTGGTCTGTTCTTCTTCTTTTTTTTTACTGGCCGGACAGAAATCGATCAGTCAGTTTTCTCATTACGTGCTGAATAGGGAGGTAGAGTAGTAATTGTCACAAGGGGCAGGGTGAGGTTGAGGGTAGTGGTGGTGATAATGTCTGACACTCAGGAGCTGCAAAGACTGCACAGCACAGCCTTGAAATGGAAGTCTCCAGTCCAGCAGCCATTCGGCTTTATTTTATTCCCTATTTAACTGTGTCATAACGTTGGAGGGGGCCTCATATTTATCTTGTAAATCTTCTGAAGGGAGATGGTGGTTCAGCTGCAATCGTGCATGCTTTAAAGTGAGAGAAAAAAAAAACATTTAGGAGTCAAGACAATTAATTTTCTTTTCCTTATATTTTTTACTCCATCATTCAGCTAATATAAAACCGCAGTGTCAGGTTGGTTCTTCAAATCCCAATCTGTGTCAACCCCCCACTCATCAGTCTCCTAAGTTCTGATTTACAAATCAAGGCAGCATTGATTAGCGTGAAATATGATCGAAAGAGCTCATTCTGTTCACTCTAAATTCAAATTTATTCCACTGTAAGCCAATAGACAAAAATGACCTTACTGCTCGGATGCCGTTAGGAAAGTAAACTCTGAATAGAATAAATAAGACCTCATTTGTGGCTCTGATTGCTGTATTGAGATAAAGCAGCATTTTCAGCCTTAATGAAAGAGAAGAAGAAGGGGGGAAAAAAATCGTCTGACACTGCATATTTTCCCTCCATTAAAACCAAATGTGTTGTTGCAGCATTAATATTCTCATAAAAAGTAGAGTTTGATTATAATTGCAGATGAATTTTGATGTAAAAATGTTCTTATAAACAGTCGATGTTTTTCTGCAGAAGTTTCAGAGTTGTTTTTTGGAAACTAAAAATGCTAAGGAGTTCGATATTCCCAACAGAAATGTAAACTAGTTGAATTTGTTGGCGAAGCTGCTCTGATGAATGGAAGAAGACAGATCGTACCAAAGGTTATAATGCATCCGGGACTGGAACTTAACTATGGCATGAACTATAAATAAAAATAAACAGTGGCGTAACATTTTAGAAACTCCCGTTACCTCTTGAAGCGTCCAAAACCCCCCACAAAACTTTATGTACTTTAAAAGCCTGATAATGTGTAATAAACCATGTATAACATGGGTAATTTAGTGGATTGAATGCTTCCAGATATATTCGCCTGGTTTACCAAACCAGGTGAACCAAATCACAATATTTCGAGCTTCATAACAAACCGATGCTGACTCCACAGCACATATTCTCTTATCTGGACCAGGGTCAAACAGCTCCTCCTGGAGAGAGAGCTGCGGGTCAGGGCAGGGTAAGTTATGTATGAGGTAGGAACACAGCGCGGGAAAGCAGCAACTGCATGGCACAGGAAGTAACCTTGATGAAAAATTCAGTTGTTTGCTGCTCCTGGCGTCCCTCAGGCATGAATAAAGTGAGGCCCAGACAGAGAGAAAAGACCTGGGCTCAGCTTGAAACTACTCACCGACCCACTGCTGAGGAGCACACACACACACTCGGCTAGCATTAGGAGATGGGCACGAATTAAACTTTAATCACGCCTCAAATAGATTAAGCGACAGGAGCCGAGTCAGCATTTCCAAGCCCCTGCTCTGCTTCAGTTGACCATCCTCCTCTGAACTCCTACTAAATTAAATACCCACCCGTTCCAGTTTCTTTGCACCTCAGATTAACGATTAAGGAAATTAAATACTTAAACCAGGAGTCGACAACAAAAGCTGCGCATGGTTAATGTAATATTATACATAAATCCTCTGAATGAACGGCTTCTGTTTCTTGGATTTCGACTGCAGACGAAGAAGAAGAAAAAAAAAACTAGATGCGTAAGGATGGAGATGCTTTTGAACCCTGCAGCAATCTCTTGCATCTTTGAGTCAGTGATCATTTTTACTGTGGAAAAAGCCGGATGTGTTTTTGTGCAGCCGAGGCTGGGTCAGGGTGAAGAATGACTGATATGAAGGGGTTGACCTGTCACACAGCATTTGACTTACTATCCTTGGAACAGGATAAAAGGGGAGCCAAATGTCAAGTGATACAAGTGACGCATCCTCAAACGCACATATCCGCACACAGAGAGGGATTTGGAGATGAATGGTTTATAATAAAAAAAGCCCCAAAACCCACCAGCGATTCTGTGGATGGCATGTAAAAACAGTAAGATTATCAT